TTTATTTTATTTTTGTAAGCTCACCCTTGCATTTCTTTCTATGTTGTTGTGTGCGTGTGTACTGCGATGATCGTACGGTGGTACGTGAACAGATGTAGCAGGTGTTGCATCTACTTCACAGGCTGAGGGGCCAGTGAAGAAATGTTAGAAGCTAAGGTCGAGTAATATTGCATCAAATTCCTTTTTCCCTTATATTTTGAGACATCATGTAGAAGGAGCTATATAGTATAATTTTTGGTATTTTGAACATTATGAACTAAGTGTAATATCATGTTGTTCTATTGGATATTTGTTGTAAGAAACTTTGTTTTATTTTGAATGAGAAGAGAATTCCATACTTATATTCTCTATTTTTTTTATTTATCTTAAATAAGTTTGTGATGTAGAAACAATGTTCTCGGTTACTTACAAAAAGGGGTCGTGACAGAGACATATTCAGTTAAATTCAATTTTAGGTTATTTAATAATGCAAGTAGAATTAGGGGGTTTGAAAACTTCAAATCAATTGAATTAAAGCTACGAACTAAATACAATCCATAGAATCCCAAATGCGTATAATTTTGATTATCACAACATCTAAAGGTTTTTATCCGAATTGGAACAATTGTCCAATCTAATTTTTAATTCAATCGAATAACCTAATTCAACTAGATCATGAATTAAATCAAATAATCATTTGATCTAATCCGAATTAATTATCAAATTAGAACATCGATTGAGTTCTAATTTGAATTCTAACCACAGAAAAGTTAATCACAATTGCAATACACAAATCTAAAATTAGAGAAAAAGAGAATGAACTTGGAACAATTTGGCCGAAAACTCAAATTGGATTTACACCATCTGGATTCTGCAGATTGAATGAAAGGTTTAGTCTTTTATCGAAGCACTTCACCCAAACGGTAATGAGAGAATTTGAGAGAAGGAAAAAATAAAGATTCTTATTAACGGCCAAATCTCAAAAACTCAAGGTGCCTTATCGTACCACTAATTCAAAACCTTATTAGTTTATTTATAAGTTCTGATTAGGTTAAACTAAACAGCCAAAATTTGGGCCTCAATTATAACTATAAGCCCAAATTTAATTATCTAATAACCAAGGTTCAAAGGCAATCCCGCAACAATAGTTAGCAAATTTGCCTCAACTTAAAAAAATCATAGAAAATCGAAAACAACTCCAAATCTATGCATTTTAAAGCCCTGGATGTGTAGAATCCAATGTAACCGGAATTAGCTAAAAATGATATTTGTAGAAAAATTTATAGCTAAAAGAGTAGTCAGAGGTCAGAATAACTAAAAATAGGAAATTAAAGTATTTAGAAATAACTAAATAATGATAAAAACTCTAAAAATAAATTATATGAAAAGTGTTTAGAAATCAAAATAAAACTATAAATGTAAAACATAAAATATGTTACATCACCCAACTGTCCTCTTGCTTAGGCGAGAAGCGATCTCATTCAGGCGAAGAATCACAAGAAAAATGGGGAGCTCTTTGGATCCATTCTTGCTTAGCCGAGAATGCTGCTCGCTCAAGAAAGATGCAGTTCGCTCAAGCGAGATGTCTCTTGCTCAAGCAATAAAAAAAGAAAATTAGGTAGTTTCACTATCTGATTTTCTCGCCTAAGCTAGGATGAGCTCGCCTAAGCAAGAGCAGGGCTCGCTCAAGCGAGAGCATGTGAAGCTAGAGGGGTATTTAAGGGATCTTAGCGCAAAAAAACATTTATTTTTCACCAGACAACTTTTTCCTCTTATTTTTTCTCTATTCTCTTACCTTCCTCCCTTAGAGAAAATCTTTTCGAAGCCAAAGTTCTTCCTGATCCAAGTGAGAACACCTACTTAGTGCGGATCTAAGTGAGTTCCTAGGATTTGGTTCCCCTATTCTACTCTTTCTTCCTTGATTTCTCTTCTCAAGGGTCTCTATTTCATGATAATAGGGAGATTTGAGAACCTTGAGCTTTGTCTCTCTCTCTTTGGAACTCATGAAAATTTCCATATAAGAAAAATCATTCCAGGTACAGAGAGATTACCTGAGCTGACCTTATTCATTTACTAGATGCTAAGATATTTATATGTAAAATTTCGTTTTAGCTGATAATAAGTAAGTGTATGAACAAACCTTAGTGTAGAACTAAAAGTAAGTATGTCTGAGTGGATTGACTGTTGTTGGTGGATGTAATGAGTCTGATGTGTGTGATGGGGTTCCCTGTTGTTTTGTGAAATTATTTATGCTTGAAATGTTGTAACATATAAGCCGAAATTAGTTGATAAATGTTGGATATAGCTGTGATCAAAGTTTGAAGTGTTATGACTAGCTAAACAAAGATAATAGCTGTGTTGCATTATGCTGATTTTCATCATTCTAGAGTCAAGTTGCATGTTTAGGTGGTTAGACTTGTAACGATAGAAATGCTAAGCTGTGCTGTGTTTGGATCCAGATACAGGGATGGGTCGCTCTTAGACCAAAAATAGTTTTCTCTGGAATACTTGAGTTGTGAAACTAGTTGAAACTGAATTGTTGCATTTGCATTAGATGAGCTAGAAATGGGTTAAACATGCTGTATTAATTGGCTGAGATTGTTGTATTGCTTGCTGAGAATTATAAAATTTGAATAAATATATTGGATATCTTTTCATACTCTATGATTATGACTGTTAGTTATATAAGTTTACCCTTGCATTTGTTTGTGCTGGTGTGTGTGCTATAATAATTATACTGTGGTGCGTGAGTAGATAAGACAGGTAATACATCTATTTCTCACGCTAGAAGGTCTGGCTATGGAATTTTTGGAGTCATCTTGCTTTTTGAAAAAATTGTAGCTTTATTCATTTTGTTAGTCTAAGTCTTAGCGATAGATCTAGACTATTTAGCTACAGTCTTCAAAAAATATAATTGTTGCTTATAAAATTTGTATTTTGAGCTCCAAGTAGAGCAACTGTTATAAATACATATACTTATATAAATTTTTGGGTTGTATGAGAATGCCACTGTTATAAATACATATACTCATATAAATTTTTGGGTTGTATGAGAATGCCTTTGAGGCCCTATTATTTAGTTGAGATGTTGAAATTTAACTTTTGAAAATTATATCTTAATGTAGGATATTATTTGATCCTTTATAAAAAAAGTTCATGACAAGATTAATTTATGTGCTTTTATTTATATAAATGTTAGATAGTAGATTGCTTTTAAAAACAAGTGATAATGAAAACATTGATTGCATGATAAGTGCATATCAACAACAAGCTAGTAGAACTATTGTTGAGTTATATCTCAATCTTGCTGTTGGTGAAAGTTCTTTGGTCCTCTCATATATGTTGGAAATAAATTTATTACTTTCATAAACAAATGATACAACTATTATTGATTTTGATAACCATCAAGGTAGAGTTAATATATATATATATATATATATATATATATATATATATATATTGGTATTAAATTTGTGTGTTAGTATAATTAAAATTTAGGAATTTATTGTAATAATGGAATTAGAGATGAAGATAAATATAAGACCAAGATGATGATGGTTTAGATAATTTATGTAGAGGATGATTTTTATTCTAACTTAAATATACTATAACAATAAACACTTGTTAATGAATGTATATTTAATTCATTATGTAATTAGCAATGACAACACTAATTTTGTTGTAACATAAGGGAGGTAAAAAGTATTTTCTGAGTGTAAGTTCACACTATAAATATATTAATTGGAAATATTTCTAAGGAAGAATGACAATTTTTTTTAAAAAAAGCTAAATATATAAGTTTAAGAAGATGCCATTGTATGCCATGTTGTTATTTGACGTTATAAAGAATATAAAAAATGTTTTAAAATATTATGATGTAAATAAAAAAAAAAAAGAAAATCGTGGTTATGACCATTAGATATATGTCACAATTCTAAAAAGTATCGCCACTCAAGTAGCAAAATTTGTTAAGATTGTAAAACATATTTTTCTTTTATTGTAGATTTAATTAATTATAAAATATTAAATATTTAGATTTACAATATGTATATTTAGTTATTTGTTGATTAAGAATTATTTGTATAGAGTATGTAAATTTAAAAATTTGTTAATTGTTAATTAGTTGTATGTAGAATATTTATATTTAACACTTTTCTAAAATATTAATTATTTGTATTTACAATGTGGCTATTTAATTATTTGTAATGAATAATTATTGGTATTGAGAGTATGTATGTTTATAATTTTATTAATTATTAATAATTTGTATTTAGACTATGTATATTTAATTAATTCTAAAATATTATTTGTAAATTTAATTATTTGTTAATACAATTCGAGAGTTGTTATGTCCACTAACATTTATTAAGTCATTATCTAGGAGCTTACTTCATTGATTGTAACGTGAATTTAGAATAAATTCTCTTGCTTAGCTCTTAGAAATCTTAAACACAAGGCACTGAAAATATTTACAATTGCTTTGTCTTTCAAATTTTTTTAAATGAAATTTTACATCTAAATTAAGTAGTAATATAAATAATGAAGGTAAATGAAAAAGAAAAACTAAAAATTATGATCATATTACTATTAATACGTGTTACAATTATATTATGCGATACACTAGTAAAATTTGTTAAAATTATGGCATAAATTTGGTTTTTATTCCGATGGCTAAATTTTAATTTATTTTTAAATATCAGCAAAAAAAATTAAAATTTATAATATTATCGGGCATCACATTTTTACTAAATTTTGTACTTTTAGAAATAAAACCTTTTTTTTTTAAATTAAAGTTTTACCAATAACAATGACTAGACCTATTATGCATGAAAAAAATATACATAAAATTTGTTTTGAAAAATTTTATATTTTAATAATTTGTTTTAATTAATGAAAAATGAAAAAAGCCCCGGAAATTGATTGGTTGTGGTAAGAATAGAAAGATTCACAAAATTTTTAATTTAAATTATGATGTACACGACTACACAGGTAATTTATGGCCACTCCTGCAGTGTGTTCCTACAAATTCTTTTATTTTTATTTTATCTAATGTGATGTGCTGGGAGACTGGAGCAAAAGAGGCAGAGTGATAAACAAACAGAAAATGTACAACATAGTGGGCATGAAGTTCTTATGTTTGATGTCGTTGTTATCGTGGTGTTGCCAAGTACAAGGGCAATTGCTGTCGATCCCAGCAAAACCTGACCCCGATGATGCTGCTGCCTCAGCTCGTTGGTTGGTCTCTCTCAATTTCTGGGGAGTCTTGAAGTACACACACAATCTTTCTCTCTCTCTCTCTCTCTCTCTCTCTCTCTCTTTCTGAATTCACGAACTGCTTTTATTTTCACGAGTTCAATTCTGATTGATTTGATGGTTAATTTGTTAGTTAATGTTTGTTCGTCCCAACAAGTTTTCAAAATGTTAACCAGTTTGTGCTTGATTCACTGATTGTTTGAATTGACGGGCCATTCATTGCGTGTGCCACACTTAATTTACTTTCAAGTTAATAACTTCTATTAATTTACAGATTGGTTATTTGTAAACGCAATGGTGAATAGGGAAATCATAATCAATTCATTGGGAGTTTTGACATTACCAAATCCTATTATCATCATCTATACTCAGTTCTCTTCCATTTATTTATCTTCTGAAACTCAAAACTGTTTATCTCTAACTTCACCTTTTTTTTTTTTGTTTCTTTGCAGTACTCTCTCAACTGATCTCGGTGGAGCACCCTTTGGGTTAGCATTTATTACTTTCGTTATTTGATATTTTTAGCCTTTTCTATATTATGTGTGTTCAAGCCGAATCTAAATGCAATTGCTTTCTACAAAGTTATTGTTATATTGTCTAAATGCAGGAATGTAGTATCATTTAGTGATGGACTACCTAATGAAGGCAGTGGCATCCCATACTTTTACTTGACAACTCTAGACCCAACAGCAAGAAATGCATTGAAAGATGAAAAGGCTTCATTCACAGTCAGTGAATATCCTCTGGGGACCTGTGGCAGGAGAGACCCACAGAACCCCACTTGTTCAAAAATTTCTCTAACTGGAAAGGTGTGTGAAAATTTGAATTATATTGAATATGATCATGTAGGATGTGTGATTACAATTGTATTCCCTTATGTTTTATTATTCACTCTGTTTCTATGTTCTAAATTTTGCTCCTTTTCCATTTTCCATGTACATACCAGTTATGGACATGATATTTCAAATAATAACAACTTCCGCTGACTTAATTACTGGATATACTCAAGTTGGATCTTAATCCTACTGTTTCAAATTGTTCTTGAATTCTTGCTTGTAGATGAATGCCATCACAATTTGCATGCTACCCTTTTTCAGATGTATAATATTTTCCCGATCTCACATTCTTACATCAATTCCAATTTATATCATGTAGCAAATTATCGTTAAAATGATAATATGAGAAAAAAAAAATTGATACGGATGAAATGTGTTTGGATAGACCACACAAAATATATATATTAGTTTTATAAGCAGAGTATAAAGAAAATTGTTTCATCTCTATTATTATTCCGGAAAAATGAGATACATTATGTAGAAAAGAGGAAGACAATGAAAAAGAAAATAATAAATAGGACTTTCCCAGAATTAACTAGGAATCCCAAAATTATAGGAATGAAATCAAATAGAATAGCTGAATCAATCCTCCAATTACTGAATTGATGTGATTCTCCTAAAATTTAGGAATTGATTTCAAACACCCCCCCATATATTTGAGCAATAGATATTAGTCATTCCCATCATGCCAACATTAGATTCAAAGTCAGATTTCAATAAGGCCTTTGTGAGTAAATGCCCCATTTTCAATCTCTGATTTGATGAAGCTTCTGTCTCCGTACATGCTTCATCCTATCATGCTGAATTGGATTGTGAACAATGCTAATGGCTGACTTGCTGTCATTGAAAAGTGTCATAGGTTCTTGAGTTGGAATAGATAAATCTTAAAGTTACCTATTTCTCCAGATTAGTTCACTAACAGCCTGAGCAATTGGTCTATATTCTGCCTCCACATTGCTCCTAGCAACAACAATCTGTTTCTTGCTTCTCCAATTCACTAAATTTCCCCACACCTTCCTACAATACTCTGTGGTGCATTTTTTATCTGCAACTGAACCCACCCAAATCAGTGTTTGCATAGCACTCAACACCTTGGTGTTCATTCTTTCTAAATAGTAGGCCTTTTCCAGGTGTGCCTTTTAGGTAGTGGGGAATTTGATTTACAGCATCAAGGTGTCACTTTCTTGAAAAATGCATGAACTGACTTAACTACACTAACATTGTTAGGCAATGTTCAGTCTAGGAAGAGGTCAATAAATCAGTTTACCTACAAGGTGTTGGTACCTGTCCTTTTTAACTAGACGATCATCCTCATTGATCTTTGTTAAGATGAGAGAAAACGAAAAAACATGTGATGAATTCCATGTGTTTCAACTACACTGCAAGCTGTGTATTTATATTAACAAGATTAATCACAATCATAGCTATATAATCAGGAACAAATATACAGTTAACTAATTACTATAATTATATGGATACTATTTTCTTAAATAGCATATTTACATACATTTAACACTCTCTCTCAAGCTGGAGCATATAAATCATATGCATTGAACTTGTCACATATGTACTTAATACGAGAACCTCTTACAGACTTTGTGAATACATCTGCCAATTGATCATTTGAATTGACAAAGCTTGTGGCAATGACTTTAGATAAGATCTTTTCACGAAAGAAGTGATAATCAATCTCAATATGCTTCATGCGTTCATGAAAGACTGGATTGGAGACAACGTGTAAGGCTACTTGGTTATCATAAATGAGTGTCATTAGTCCTTGTGAGATCAAGGCAGAAGAATCAATTGAGGTAGCTGACATAGGAGTAGGAATGATGTCTGAGGCAATGGTGGCCTTGGTAGGAATGCGTAGCAAAGAGGACCAAGCAGTAGTCATAGTGGCAACATAAAAATTGTTTGATGGTTCTCCAATTCCATGGCAGTAGTCGTAGTGAAAGGCAAAGGTTCATTGAAGTCATGAAGAATACTACTCATACGACCCAAATAGGTCAACATAGTTCCATCAAGTTTCTGAGTTACAACAACATCCTTGAGATTCATACTCTATATAAACTTTGCATGTCATTAGTGTAAAGTGATTTGACTTGTAACCAAACGAACTCACACGTATCATGGGAGCGGAAGGTTTGCTTCATAGAAGGCTGAATAGTGGACTCAATAACACTGAAAGTTTGGCATCAATCTTACTCCATTTAGCATGTTTAGTCTCAGCACAGTTGCTTCTTTGGTAGTGAGATGGTCAAGATAACCTTGACCATTGATACAAAGTTTGATATCAAAGGCCCAAGAATCTTAGTTATTGCCATCAAACTTGTCAGTAGACAGTAGAACAGTGATAAAGTTGGTGAAAATAGAAGTTTCAAGTTTGGGAGGAGCCAGAGTCGCCATGGGTCAAGCAGTAGTGTTCGAAACTCAAAAAAAGGACCACAGATCCAGAATCGTCTTGACAAGGCAAGCCTAGTCAGCGAAAAATGGTGGTTGGAAAGTTGCCGGACGCATCATCATGTGCAGCAGAGTTGACAACAGAGAGAGAAAGGCGTTGGAAAAGGAGGTGGCGCGTGTGGGTGCGTGGGACCTTCATTCGTGATGCAGTGACTAGGTTTTGTTGCGCACAGTGGGGCGAGTCCAGTGGCAGCATGTCAGAAAACATGCCGGAAAACTTGCCAGCGGTGAATAGTGGTGGCCAATGGAGTTGGCTGCTGGAAAAAAAAAAAACTAGAAATCAGAGACACATGATTTCTTAAAAAATATTGACACTTATAAGCAGTGGTCCACAAGGAAAGCACGGATTAGGGTTACCTTCTCATTAGGCTCTTGATACAATGTTAAGATGGGTGATAATGAGAAAGTATGTGATGAATTCCGTGTGTTTGAACTATACCATAAGCTGTGTATTTATATTAACAAGGGTAATCACAATCATAGCTACATAATCATGAACAAATATATAGTTTTCTAATTATTATTATTATACAGATACTATTTTCCTAAGTAGCATACTTACATATATTTAACAATCTTCTTGTTCTCGTTTCCATCCATAGGAGTTCCTGCAGGTCTACACCCTAGTCACTGATGCAGAATCGTTGAGGAATAAAGGAACAATTGCAAAAAAGTTTTGAAACAGAAATGCTACTTGTATTATTGAATGATAAAAAAAGAATACAGGAATGGTCTTCCTGTCCACAGAGTAAGGCTCCTAACAGAGAGCTAAAGCTCTCTATCTCTAACGAATTCCATAATCTTTTCCAAGAAACTCTCTCCTCACTCCATCCTAATATAACAGAAAATCACTCAAAACCACCCTAGCCCCACCACACCAAACACACTACACTCCCTCTCACATGATCAATCCCTATTCTTCTTATTCTTTCTCACATATACCCACCAAACGGTTGGCCTATTCGATTGTTGCTGCACCAAATTAGCACTTAGGCCCATTGACTCTATTGGATCTCCAACAGTCACTCACTCACCTTCTCTGGTAGCTGTCTTCTTTGCTTAAGCAACTAACTCCTAGAAACAGCAAAAGAATGGAGGAGGGTGGGGCTGGGGGGTGTGAGGGGCTAAAAGGGGGAGAACTGAAAGGGAATGCTGAGTGTGAGTGAGTGGAGAAGGTGAGTGACTTGGGAAAAATTCACTTAAGCGAATTTTTCTTAATTTTTTTCATTGTTTTCCTAAAATTCGCTTAAGCGAGTCTATTTTTACTTAATTGGATGTTCAGTTCCTGCAACAACGGGAGAGAATTCAGATTTTTTTATTATAAGTCTATTTACATTATTGCGATCAAGGACCAAGTTTTGAGGGGTTACTAAAAACATTGTGGAGACCATTGCGTTCCATAGTACTTCCACCATCATCCCCAAAGTAAAATTTGATATACACTATAAGTGGGGTAAGTAATGATTAACAGTTAACATCTTTAGTTAATTTACTGGCAGATATGAGTTTATACTTCAATTCTGGTACACGAAAGACAAAATTTAAGTTTAAACCTGACAAATTCAAGTTACTAGTACCAGCTACCAGTAAGAATGTACCATCAGCCAATGTTCTGAAAATTGATATTCTATGTATGACGAGAGAGGGTAAAAAATTGTTAACCATAGCGTCGTAAAATGGATTATAAGATCCTACTAAAATGCAAAATCATATGCAATTTACACAAATGCAAAGAAAATAACATAGATAATGAAAAAATCATAACCATAACATCCAGTTACAACTAATTAGTCACATAAGTTTTTCATATCAAAACAACTAAAACAGAAGAAAATAGTCCAAAGTACAGAATTATAGAATCTAAAGCAGAATTCTAGATATTTAGTCAAGCAAGAAATCACTAATGCGCCAATTTTCATAATCATCCTCCATTATATATTCATCTTCATTAGTGGCATTTCTTCCATCACAAATTTCATAATCAGTAACGTCAAGAACTTCTAAATCATCCAAAAGGTACACCACCTCCACCACTACTAGCATTAACATCTTCTACAACTTGAATCAAATTCTCTTTAGCTAGAGCATTCATCTCCAAATTTGAGTTTTGATCATTTTATACTATCCAATCATCATTAGAAGGAATATCCTCAATGTTAAAGTTTTCTTCTTTCCTAGGTTTCTTCTTGGCCAATCTTGATTTAGCCATCACAAGCACTACATCATTCATTTTCGTATGCTTAAAACAATTTCTTTTCTTGGTGTGGACCTACACAGTTACATATCAATTAAAGCATATTAATAGGTATTAGTTTTAAAAATGAAATATAATTTATTGCATGTACTTGAAATTGAATCTTGCAACCTCAAAGGCACTCCAATTGCGCCCACAACCAAATGAACTACAGGTCATGCTCAACAATACACAAACTTTGAACGTTTGCAACTCTGGCTGTTCATAAGCATAAGATTCCGTCCACTATATTGGAGTTTTATTTGTTAGACCAAGTTTAGCTACTCTACTCTAGTACTCCACTAACATAAGATTCCCACCACTAGTAGTACAATGATTTCCTTACCGTATCATTTTACTATTAAGGTCCTTTCCATTAGCTACTCTACTACCACTATTAAGGTCCTTCCACACTTTAGTCTCCTATTGACATCAATCATATGTTCCTCTACCACATTTCTAGCATATGGCTAGGGCTTTTGGACAACATGTGTGTCGTCTTCCACAATTAGTGCTCACAGTTCTTGTAGGTCTTGCAAAACTGAACACCTTTGCTCAGTCAAAACTTTTGCACATAGCAGCGCTTTTGGGTCTTGCAAAAGTGGTACATTTCTTGTGTAGTGGTGGTGGCAGGTTGTTGCTGATCTTTCTTGCAAAATCACTTGGTGCTTTCTAGGTGTTGTAAAGTCACACATTTCTTCTCTTCTGTTGGTGGTTGGCAAGTTCAGTGCTCAGTCCTGTTTTTGTTCTAACTTACACAAGAGACACGCATAACTGAATAAGCCTTGCATGTTGGTGCTAAAAGCCTTTTCCTCTTTCCAGCCTCTTCTTACTATACATCATCTCCTTTTAATTATCTCGAGTTTTCCTTCTGAATAAGTTTTTGCATTGAAGAGACAATGTCCTACATCTGCTTCTTGATATCATCAGGGACAGCAATGCAGGGTCCGACATCCTTCTTTATTGATGCTAAGTGGTGTTTAAATTGATAAACGCCACCTATGATCTCTTTCTCACAATATTTCATATAATTTTTTAATCCTTGTCAACTGAAACCCTGTGTTTCCAGTCATTCCAAGTGCATTTTCATTTTTTTATCTTTCTGCATTCATGGAAACAACACTTACAATAGCACTATAATCACCTTGATCGCCTTGCCCCAGGCCACGCCCACCAGCCCCAATACCAGCACCAGCAGTACAACCTCCTAATGCCATTATTTTCCCACTAAGAATACACCCACAAACAAAGAAGACAGAGCAGGGAGAAGGGGAGAGCAGTTGACAGCACTGAACAGAGCCTCCCTGACCAGCGATCTTTGTTGCAACTAGACTTGACTGACGTCCTCTCTGCTGTAAGTTGCAAGGCTGCAACCTTGTCTACTTGAGGTGAGAAAAAGAGCACCAAAGGAAAGGGATTCAATTTTCCGCTGGAGCAGTTGGGATTCTTTTCCGCTATAATTCCTTATGTTTCATTTTCAATATACATATCAATTTCTGTTTTGTTATTGTTCAGCCACTTGTTTGTGCATAATTGAACCATTTTTATATCATTGTCCTTTCTTGGAAAAGAAAGAGCAGAGCAAGTAATATAAAGAAACATAAGCAAACACAGGATAGTATTGTGTGAGGAACTTATCATTTAACACGGAAGATGGCACACTGTTCTGGCATCCCCCCAAAACAAGAAGAAACATTCATATGCAAGAGTATTATCCAGGATTGTGTTCAACTGCTCCATTTTTTGCAGTCTACGAGCCCACGTTATTTTTATGGAAGGTGCCCATTTTTGCATCGTATTCCAAAAAATATGAAGACCATCTCCATTATTTGTATGCAAAATATTGACAGTTGTCCTAAATTGTGGATGAATTTTGGCACAAATTTTGAAATATTGAAAATAATTTTGTAAAATTTTTCAGTAAAAGGAACCAAATGCGACAACAATCATCATCAAAGTTGTTACAAAATATATATGAATCTTAAATTAGAAAAATTACAGGATCCTACAATTACATGATTTGATTGTTCCTATACAATGAACCTAGATGCCATTTATATTGATTCCAACAGGACCCCGTGATCTGAGCATCCGTGGAATGACCAGGATTGCAGCAGAAGGTGCAGTCCATTTCAGGTTTTGTTGGGTGATATGGGTTGAAACCTGCTTATATACAAACATAAGAACTCTAAGAATGATCTAATTAGGGAAGAATTGTGTGTCTGGAGGGTCTATACATGTGTGTGTGCGTGTGTGTTATTTGCAATAATTTAATTCTGATTCTAATGATATACACTCCTTAATTAGTTCCCACGATTGCCTCTAATTGCTTCTACCAAATATTCATGATGTGCTATAATAAATATCAGATATTCTAACAAACTGAACCACCTTTTTATAACTTGATGCAGATATTACCTCAAAATTTGGGATGCAATTCAAATGTCATGGGATTAGAAGTATATTTTCTAGTGATTTCTTAATTTCAACTTGTTTTGTTAAGGTCCTGCAGAAATTTTTTATCTTTTCAACATTTACCTTCAAGAATATGTGAATATAGTTACTCACTCCTATATTTGGTATACTTGTATTGGGTACATATCCAGTACCATTAGTTAGTCCATGTAAAACACCAAGTTTGTTACTAAGTGGGTTGACTTGCTACTAAATGAAACACTGTTACTTCCCTCCCTTCAATTGTGCCGCCTTTATATTTTTTCATACTTGAGTTCTAACATTGTGAAAATACATTTATCTTATGATTTAATTATTTTATTGTTTGTTTTTATATTTCTATACCCATTGTACTTGAAACCTAGTTTTTATAAATTTTGGCATTCCTTGTACCTGTACTCATACCCGTATAGGTGTTGTTACTGATATCCTTGTAACTAGTTGGAAAATCATAGAGACCCCTTTTGGGCTTCCTCTAATGTTAGTAGGTCTTAGGAATTTGATTACTCTCTGTTTTCAGCTGAAATTGGTTGATGAAAAGTCCAAGGAGGCCAAATTTGCTAGAAATGCCTTGTTTTCCAAGCATCCAGAGATGAAGGGTAATGTCCTACTCAATGAATTAGATGCATTCTTTCTTTCTTTAGTCATGTAGCTGGTTGCTAAATTTCTGTGCACCTTTCTCCATATTTTATAATTTTGGTTGCTAAAATTTGATTCACACCTTTTATTTTCAATATTGTTTGACAGGCTGGCCTGGGGATCACAACTTTCAACTCTTCAAATTAGAAATTGAAAATATATTTCTAATTAATTGGTTTGGTGGCCCAAAACCACTCACAGTGGAACAATACTTGCATCCCAAAATGTAAGTATTTGAATTACACCCCGACCCCAAAACTATATGAAAAGAGGGAGAAGGGAGGAAAGAAAATATCTCATTCGTAACCCCTAAAGTAATGAAAAACAATTAAATCTTGTGGAACAGGAACAAGGTTAATCATCTACAGGTTAATCACCCAAAACTATTTCTCATTTTTATGTTTTGCTGATTCATTTTCTGTCCAATTATGGTTAATCATCTACAGGAACAAGGTTGGTTTCATTCTCTGATGTTCCTCCAATGGCTACCCTTTATTGTGGGATGTGAATGCACATATGGTGTTCCTGGAGCATTTGTAAATAGATGAATACCGTGTTTCGAATTGTGTATTCCTTCTAAATACTCTTGGGTCATTGTTATTACTTCCTCATGCAATAAGCTTTATGAAATCTGTATGATTATGCTGTGTCAGGTACAAACTCATCTTGGGCAACCCATTGTGCCTATGACAATGAAAAGATAGCAATCATTGGGTGTGCACTACCCGACATGAAAAGAAAAAGGCCAACAGAGAACATTGATTAATTACAAGTAGTTGGTAACGTTTATAAATAGTAGACACATTTGAAAATCAATATTGTTTCTGTGAAACATTAGGAATTTAGGACTTGAAAAAAATTATTCAGAATGCCCTTCACCCTAAATCTGTTGAAATTGTGGAGAATTTTTATGTTTTAGGGACGTGATAATATTTCCAGTTTAATCCAATATACCATGATTTTAGGACATGTATAATTGTGGGTTGTTATTTTATCTTTTCAATTATTTGTAAATCTATTTTAAATAGCTCAGTTTGCTTTTCAATTCAATAAGAGTGCTCCACAATTCAATAGTGCATATCCTAAATCCAAACCTAGAACTATGGCTATCGGTGTGAGAGAGAAGAAACATGACTTCTAAAAGTAGTTTTGTACAACTTGACATTCCCAGGCTTGATGGACATTATGATCACTGGAGTATGCTTATGGAAAATTTCCTACATTCCAAGGAGTATTGGCATGTGGTGGAAACAGGGATCCCTGCAGCAGCAGACGGAGAAGAATTTAGCGATTTACAGAAGAAGACACTAGAAGAGCTGAAGTTGAAAGACTTGAAGGCTAAGAACTGTTTGTTTTAGGCCATTGATCGTTCAGTCTTAGAAACAATTCTGAAGAAGAACACATAAAAGGAAATATGAGATTCTTTGAAACAAAAATATCAAGGAACAGCTCGTGTGAAGTGTGCTTGATTGCAGGCACTGCGTAAGGAGTATGAGGTACTGCATATGAAGGCTGGAGAAACCATCAATGACTATTTTGAAAGGACACTCACTATAGCAAATAAAATGAGGCTTCATGGAGAAAAAAATGGAGGACGTGGTTATCATTGAGAAAATTTTGAGGTCTATGACTTCAAAATATGATTATGTTGTTTGCAATTGAGGAGTCAAATGACTTGGATAATCTATCCACTGATGCACTTTAGAGCCGTCTCCTTGTTCATGAACAACGAATCAGTTGACATGTTATGGAGGAATAAGCTCTCCAAGTAACTTCTGAAGTCCAACACGGAGGAAGAGGTGGTGGTTGTGGCTCATACTGCGGAAGAGGACGAGGAAGAGGAATGGGAAGATCTGGGTTTGACAAAGCTACCCTAGAATGTTACAACTGTCATGAGTTAGGACATTTTCAATGGGAATATCCTAAGAAAGTTGTGGACTACACAAGTAGGTGTTGAGAAAGTCAAAATGGAGTATGTTTGGTTTCTTGATTCTGGATCAAGCAATCATATGTGTGGTAGAAGGGAAGCATTTATTGAGATAGATGAAAGTTTCAAAGAATTAGCGAAGTTGGGAAATGACTCTAGTCTCAACATACAAGGCAAAGGCAATGTGCGATTGAAGGTGCATGGATTAGTACATGTGATTACAGAAGTTAATCTGAAGAATAATCTGTTAAGCCTTGGTTAACTACAAGAGAAGGGATTTGGGGTGTTCATACAAAATGGAAAATGCAAAATTTTCCATCCTAATAATGGCCTAATTTTTTAAACTGAAATGACATACAATAGGATGTTTGCCTTGGTTGCTCATAGTATTTCAAAGAGCAAAATTGTCTCTCCATGACAACCACAAATCAAGCAAATCGCTGGCATAGTCAATATGGGCACTTAAGTTGGAATGAACTATATGTACTACAACAAAAGAATATGGTTAAAGGGCTGCCAAAGATCAAAGCTTCTGAAAAAGTGTGTGAAGTTTTTTTTGTAGGTAGGCAACATCGTGACTCTTTTTCTAAGAGAGTGTGTGGAGAGCTTCTAACGTATTATAGTTGATACATACTGACATATGTGGCCCAATAAGCCCAATCTCAAACAGTTCAGTAAAAGGAGATATCTTCTAACATTTATTGATGATTTTGGTAGAAAAATCTGTGCTTACTTTCTTGTGGAAAAATCAGAAGCATTTGATATGTTCAAAATGTATAAAGCTAGAGTGGAGAAGGAAGTAAGGACATTTATAAAAGGCTTGAGGACAAATCGAGGTGGTGAGTTCACATTACATGTGTTCACAAGTTTCTACAATGAAAATGACATTCATAGACAGTTGACAACTGCCTATACTCCTTAACAAAATGGCATTGCCGAAAGAAAGAATAGAACTATCATGAATATAGTTAGGTGCATGTTGTTAGAGAAGCAAATTCCAAAGAGATTTTGGCAAGAAGCAATGAATTGGGCAGTGTATGTGTTGATTCGAAGTCCAACCCTTGCAATGAAAAACAAAACACCTGAAGAAGCTTGGAGTGGGCACAAACCATTGGTGGAACACTTTAGAGTCTTTGGATCCTTAGCTCATGTGCATGTACCTGACAGTAAAAGAGTCAAGCTTGATGACAAGAGCCTCAAATGCATATTTTTGGGGGTAAGTGAAGAGTCTAAAGCTTATAGATTGTTTGATCCCATTTCACAAAAAATATTATAAGTCGAGATGTGGTTTTTGAGGAAGATCAACAGTGGAATTGGGATGATAGTCATGAGAAGGCCATATTAACTGATCTTGAATATGAAATGGATGAAGAAAAAAGTACATCAAATGAAAGAGATGAAGAACCTACTCCCAATGAAGATATAGTACATAATGTGTATGGTGATAATAACTCGTTAGAAGCAAGAGACACAACAAATGAAAGTAGTGAGTGTTATTCAAGAGGGTCGAACTCTAAGGGCACCAACTTGGATGATAGACTATGTATTTGGAGAAGGTCTCTTGGATGACGAAGGAATAAACTTGGCTTATCAAATTCTGACTTGCAATGGTGATCCCATTACTTATGATGAAGTTGTGAAGAGTGAGAAATGGAAACAAGCAATGGATCGAGAGATAGAAGCTATAAAAACGAATGATACGTGGGAACTAACTGATTTGCCACCAGGAGGAAAAACCATTGGAGTAAAGTGGATTTTCAAGACAAAACTAAATGACAAAGGGGAGGCGGACAAATACAAAGCTCAACTTGTTGCTAAGGGGTATAGTCAACAATATGGAGTGGATTTTTCTTAAGTATTTGCACCAGTGCTCAATTGGATACAATACAGGTGATTATTTTCCTTACTGCACAAAAGGGCTGGAAGATCTACTAACTTGATGTCAAATCAGCCTTTTTGCATGGAGATATTAAAGAGGAGGTTTTTGTTAACTAGCCACCTGGCTATGAACAAAAAAGGAGTGAATCCAAGGTGTATCACCTCAAAAGGGAACTACATGGGCTCAAGCAAGCTCTTCGGGCATGGTACAGTAAAAAAGAGTCATACTTCATCAAAGAAAGTTTCAATAAATGTCCTCACGAGCATACATTGTTTATCAAGATAACTAGTGGAGGTAAAATTTTGATTGTATGTCTTCATGTTGATGATCTTATATTCACTGGGAATGATGAAGTGTTGTTTGAGCAATTTAAAAGGTCTATGATGACTGAGTTTGATATGACTAATCTTAGAAAAATGAGATTCTTCCTTGGCATTATTGAAGTACGGGTGATGGAACTTTTATTAGCCAAAAGAAGTATGCATAAGAAGTGTTGGAGTGATTTAACATGGCTCAATGCAATTCAGTACATAATCCTGTAGTGCCTGGATTTAAGCTTTCTCTTTATGAAAAAGGAGTGGGTGTTGACAAAACTTTCTATAAGCAAATGGTTGGGAGTTTATTGTACTTAACAACTACACGTCCTGATCTTATGTTTGCTGTAAGCCTGATTAGTAGGTACATGGAGCATCCTACTGAGTCTCATCTGTTGACAGCTAAAAAGATTTTAAGGTATGTAAAGGGCACAATTGATTTTGTGATATTCTACAAGAAGGGAGGAAATGAAGAACTCATTGGCTGCCCTGATAGTGACTATGCTGGTGACTTAGATGACAGAAAGATACTTCAGGCTACATCTTTGTGATAAATTCAGGAGTAGTTTCATGGTCCTCAGAAAAGCAACCATGGTGTCTCTTTTAACTACTAAAGCAGAGTTCATTGTTGCAGCTTCAAGTGCATGCCAAGCTGTGTGGTTAAGAAGAATTTTGAGAAGTTTAAATTTGAGGCAAAATGATCCAACAATTGTTTATTGTGATAATGTTTCAGCCATTAAACTTTCAAAGAATCCAGTAATGCATGGGTGTAGCAAACACGTAGATATACATTTTCATTTCCTTCGAGATCTTGTCAAGGATGGAGTAGTGGAGTTGTTGCAGTGCTTTACTCATGAGCATATTGCGGACATTATGGCAAAGCCATTGAAACTTGAAGTGTTCTTGAAGCTGCAAAGTTAATGGGTGTCTGCAAATATCCTTGAATAAACTTCATCAATGTTTTCAGTTTAAGGGAGGATGTTGAAATTGTGGAGATCCTGTAGTTGTTAAGATTTCAATGTTTTAGGGACGTGATAATATTCGTAGTATTATTCTGTTTTCAGTTTAGTCCAATATACCATGATTTTAGGATGGGTTGTTATTTTATCTTTTTGATTGTTTGTAAAGTTATTTTAAATAGCTCAATTTGCTTTTCAATTCAACAAGAGTGCTCCACAATTCAATAATTCATATCTCTAAATTTTTCCAATTTTAACAAAATCAACAAATTCCATTTACCCAAAAGAAGAAAAGGAGAGATACAGAGAAATAAGGTGTGTGCATTCAGAATTAACAATCACTCTGACAACAAAATGGACGTAAAGAGGAGGAGGGAGGGAAAGTCCAGCTAGAATAGTAAGAGTAGGCAAGAGGTAGAGACACATAACCAGATAGCAAACACAAATCTAAAAGGCTTGAGAGAGAAACAAGAACTCTCAAATTACATAGATTATCTAATGTTTTCTGAGACCATTGAAACTGCTATTATTCTTTGGTATTGGTATTATCTATATATTATTGGAGAAATGCTTTACAAATACAAATCAATAAATAATAATACTAAATAAAATGAAAATAAGTTAAGTGAAAGCTATACGAATGTGTTTAACGTAAACACTTTAAAACTAAATGAGTTAGTGAAAATCATAACTATGCTTGTATTCATTCACAAGACTTATTCTTACTATTTAGTACCTAATTTTCCATTTCTGTGAATTGATATTTAAGAGGCCAATTTTGGGAACAGTTGTGTACCTATTTATGAAGGATATTTTCAATCAAACAAATAATTCAAGAATAATTTAGGATTGAATTTTAGATCTCTTAATGGGTTATCTAAAGTATGTTTTTAAATAAAACTTCTAACTTGAACGTGCAAAATTAAAATAAAATAAAAAAGAAAAAGAACAATTGCAATGAAATAACAAAAATGGATAAAGAAATTTTGAAAGTAAAATTAATAACATAAATTGAAATTAACGTACATTACAACTTTAATTGAGACTATCAACATAATTATGAATCTCTTCTTGTTAGGGTCTAACATAGGCATAAAACATTTGACGATTTTCTAGATATGAAATGCAAAGTGTCTAAGTGAAGAAATTGTAACTCTTATTCTATCATCTAAAGCTCTATTTATAAAAAAAGTACAAAATAATTGTCTAAAACATGTTTTGTAATTGTCATGACATATCTTTTATAGTTTTTGCCACATGTTTTTACTTATGACTGCTAGTAACCGCTTTTAAAGCATTAAATTTTCCATGCAAATCTCCTTATGGTTAGAAGCCTTTGTACTTTTAGATACTTCATCACTAGGAATATCTCGAAACAGTGTCCTTGACAAAATATTCTTTGACATATTTTTGACTTTATTTGTTTATGATTGCAATATTTCTTAAGATACCTCACAACACTCCTTTTTGAGACTTTTAACACCCTGTACCTTGCAATTTTATCTGAAAATTCATTCATAAATCTATACAAAACTTATCAAAATATCACATTTCCACCAAAAGTTCATGTTTTCTTGGCCATAATATATAAATAAACTTGTCCAAATGTCTCTTTATTTTGGCATGTGGCTTTTGGCCTCACAAAACTTATTGAAAAGTCAAAAAAACCCCTGAGGGTCATGCTATGCAAGACTTGGCCGAAACTTTTGCTTCAGTTACACAAGCCATAACCTGTTATTACAAGACAAAACAAAAAACTGACTCTGACTTTCGACTCAAGAATAGCGCAAATAAACTTTACAATTGAAAACTTTGTTTTGAGCAAAAAATTCTTTTTAACTTTTGAAAATTTTATTTCTCTCAACCAGTATCGTCGTTTAGAAAAGTTGAACCAGTCCATGACAAGAGTGGTGAACCAATATGGCAGCATTGTGGTTGATGAGGAATTTGAGACCGAACTTGGGCAAAATATAAAAAAAAACACTTACATATCAGAAAAACTGCAATCACAGAGACAGTGAGATTGGGGTAGCTCTAAGAAATCAGTCATGTTCTATCATTTACTCAACATCTACCACCACTGTTATCATAATAGGATTTGGAAGTAATGGATTTCCGTGCTGCGGTTTTGACTTTTGAGCAAGAGAAACTCGCCCAATGGCAAGACCTCCAAGAAATTGATAATTAGAAGAGGTTATGACGCGTGCATTGTGGGAGAAATTTTATTGCAAATAAATCAACAAAGCAGTACCTGATTTTACAGTTAGTCTAATTAGCAGCAATTCCCATTACATTTTTTAGTTATATATGTTAGAATGGTAATCTAGTATAAATGAGCAAGTATAAAGCTGAATACACTCAAGTCACTGACCACGAGTGCAAGAAAGACGGATTGATGCACCAATCACAAGGGAATCTATGCCTCAATAATCATGATTGAAGAACGATGTATAATCTAAGATTTCCTGTGGAGTTTCGATCAGACTTCAGAATACTTTTCGACGAAATCAGACCAAAATCAATCGCAAGAAGACTGAAAATTAGAACTATAATTTTTGTTAGTATTTAATCTACAATTAGACTGACTTGTTATAAGGTCATAACTACAAGCTGTTACTGGATTTGTCATTTTGGCCATCAAGTTATTACAAGTTGCGCCTGACAAATTAGAGCACTTAAGTTACTGGCAGAATCAAGCTTAACACAAATAATGGTTGAAATAGGCATTATAAATAAAAAAGAGAGGAGGAAGGAGAGTGAGTAGAGATCATGGCAGTGATCATAGCACTAAAATATGGATAATAGAAATCCAGAGCGAAACGACAACAAACAAAACTATAGGATGACAGTGATCGTATATTTAGGTTCAAAACTCATTATGTTTCGGGCACTTGCAACACAATTCATGACAACATCTATATACAACATGTACACATTATTCCTATTACACTACCTCTAAGAACTTCGACAATTTCAAGAACCAATGGCCCGAGCAAATTCCAAATTGCAATGCTTAACAAGCAGTTTAACCTACTGACCCTTCAAGCTTCAAGCTCATCAGTTGATTCACTTCAGAACCAAATTCATCAGGAAGCTCATTAAAGACATCACGGCAAAATCCAGAGATCATAGCAGCCATTGCCTTTTCATAGTCTATTCCCCTTTGTTGAAAATAAAATAATTGATCTTCTCCAATTTTGGATGTACTAGCTTCATGTTCAATTCTTGCTGTTGGATTTTTCACCTGCTAAGCAGTAGTGATTTCATGAGCAAAACAGACACTACAGGGAGAAAATAAAGAAAAAGAAAAAACAGAGAAGCGGTGAGGGTTATCTAAGGTAGGGAAACTGCATAATTATGCTTATGAAAGGCAGAGAATAAATAACTATGGTATTGACGAACCCCTTGATGTTACAACCAACAACAGCAGACCAAAATCCATTAAAGCTACCTCCAGAATACTAACAAGTCCTAGTAACTCTTCCTTCCAACAATCACGATCCATCATAATGAAAAATTGTAGAAGGGAAAAACGTTACCTGGATATAAGGATAGGTATTGGCAGCAGCATTATCACCAATAAGCATGGAGTCACACTGGGAGGAGTTTCGAGCATTCTCAGCCTTGGACTGAACCTGAACAAGGCCTCTATAACAGTTCCTGGAATGTCCAGCGGATATACCCTTAGAGATAATCCTACTTTTGGTATTCTTCCCTTTGTGTATCATTTTGGTGCCAGTATCTGCTTGTTGATAATTATTAGTGAGAGCAACAGAGTAAAACTCGCCAACGGTATCATCTCCCTCCAAAACCACACTCGGATACTTCCACGTGATGGCTGATCCCGTCTCAACCTGTGTCCACGATATCTTAGACCGCGCCCCGTCACAGAGCCCTCTCTTAGTCACAAAATTGTAAATACCACCGTTACCTCGCTCATCCCCAGCATACCAATTCTGCACAGTGGAGTACTTGATCTCGGCACCCTCGCCGCAATACAACTCAACCACAGCAGCATGAAGCTGGTTCCTATCATAAGAAGGCGCCGTGCACCCTTCCAAATACTCAACAAAACTCCTATCATCGGCAACAATCAAAGTCCTCTCGAACTGCCCCGTTTCCAACGCGTTGATTCTGAAGTAGGTGGAAATCTGCATAGGGCATTTGGTGTCCTTGGGAATGTAGCAAAAGGAACCGTCGCTGAAAACGGCGGAGTTCAGAGCCGCATAATAATTATCCTCACTGGGCACAACCCTTCCTAAATACTTTCGTACCAAATCAGGGTACTCCCGAATAGCCTCCGAGATGGAACAGAAAATGACACCGGCCTTCTCCAGAGTCTTCCGGTGAGTGGTTGCGATGGAGACGCTGTCCAAAACGGCATCGACGGCGACGTTGGCGAGACGGTTCTGCTCGTTCAAGGGGACACCGAGTTTGTCGAAGTAGCGAAGGAGTTCGGGGTCGGCATCGTCGAGGCTTTTGAGGGAAGGTTTCTTTTTGGGAGCAGAGTAATAGCAAATGTCTTGAAAATCGATAGGGGAATAAGTGTTATCAGACCAATTAGGCTCTTTCATGGATAGAAACTTCTCGAAGGCCTTTAACCTGAAATGGAGCATCCAATCGGGTTCCTCTTTCAGAGTCGATATCAGTCTGATGGTCTCCTGGGAGAGCCCTTTCGGGATGGCGAAGGAATCGATCTCCAAACTGAAACCGAATTTCTTGTCGTAGTCGCGGTTCCGGAGGATTTCCCGGATCTTCTCGTCCGACGAAGTCGAAGTGCCTCGCTCGTAACTCACGTCGGCGCGAACCGCCACGGAGCGTGACGGTTTCTGTCTCATCGTCGGCAGGGTCGGGGGAAGGAGGGGTTTCTGTTTGGGTTCACGACTGGGTTGAGGTGCCAAGGGCGAGACGCCGTTGCACACAAGAGAAGCCATGGATGAGGTTTGAGCTGAGGTCCGCTACCAACGAAATGAGGATTTTGTTTTTTCACTTTGTATGTGCCGTGTCGTGTAGTGTGAAATGCGATTTCAGTTTCTGAAATTTGGGAATCCTGTGGTCATAACCGATCCTCCTATTTATTTCCTCTTGTGTTCAACACGTGCCCCTTTACGCAGGCCATCCCTCCGAGGTATTAACAATTTTGCCTTAATTGCAATTTTTACCCCATAATTTTAGGCCTTTTAATTTTTTTAGTTTTTTAAATAGTGAAATTAAAATTATTTTTATTATATTTAATATATTTTATTTTATATTTTTCTTTATTTATTTATATAAATTAATATAATATCACATCTTTTGTTACATTTTTATTAATTATCAAATAAATTTTTTGAGTAAAAGACTTATTTTAAGTATATTAATATTTTTTTAATGTTATTTGATTTAAAAAATAAATTAATCCTTAGAAAGGATCTTTATTTCCTCAAAAGAATCAAATAATATGTTGTTCTATCTATTAAACTTCACAATTTTTTATTCTTAACTCTTCCATCTCTCTTTCTTCAATTTTGAAATTTGAACTCAACTTTTCATTTTCTTTTTTGAGTTTAGAGTATTTGGAGATAAAATGATATTAATGGGACATATAAAAAACACACCTAACACACGTATACTAGAAACGAGAGAAGAAGAGAGAATTTCTATTTCATATATTTCAATCTCTAATGTTTTTATACAATTTTCAGTAGGAATATTAGCCTTTTATAGGCTTTGCAAAATAATAGAATATTATATATATAGGAAACCCACCAGCGAAGGAAGTGGCTTGGTATTTCGTGCAGCAATTTGCCTACAATTGTAGACTGTAATTAATACTACAAAACAACTTCAATTTCTATTTTTTTCAAGTGCAACTTTATAGGATTATGTGTAATAGTGCGGCTTTGTAGCACCTAAGATTTCATTGCTTTGTAACGAAGTAATGTTTGGTCTAATAAAGCTTGCGGTGCACTTGATTTATCTCTGACATTGCCTCCCTTAAATCAAGTATGCACATTAATCATTCCGAGCATTTTCTTCAGCTTATAAAATAATTCAGCTTTCAATGACTTTATAAAAATATCTGCAACTTGTTCTTTAGTTGGACAATATTCAATTACTACTTGTTTCTTAGTTATTAATTCTCGGATTTTGTGAAACCGAATATTTATGTGCTTAGACCACCATGAAAAGCTAGATTTTTGGAAAGTGCAATTGCAGACTTGTTATCACAAAAAATCACTATGTGAGGGTCTTGCTTTTGATACATTGCTTTAAGCATCCTTTTTATCCAGATTGCTTGTGTAGCACAACTTGTTACAGCTATATACTCGGCATCGGCTATTGATAGTGCAATTCTTGGTTGCTTCTTCGAGGACCATGATACCGCTCCAGTGCCTAGATGAAATGTGTATCCTGACGTGCTTTTTCTTGTTACAATATCTCCTGCCCAGTCACTGTCTGTGTATCCAACCAACTTTATATTAAAATTGTTAGCACAAAAAGTTCCTTCAGTCAAAGTATCTTTGATATATCTAAGGATTCTCTTTGCTCCTTGTAAATGACATGCACGTGGCTCCTCCATGAATCTGCTAAGTAGTCCTACTCCAAACACAATATCTAGTCTAGTAGCAGTCAGATACCTGAGACTTCTAATTAAGTTCTTGTAGTATGTTGAATCAATTCTTCTTTCATCACTATCCTTTTTCAGCTTCAATTTTTCTTCAACGGGTGTTGAGATTGGCTTTGAATTCTCCATTTTGAATTTCTTCAAAATGTCTACAGCATATTTCTTTTGAAAAATGAAAATTTCATCATCCTGCTGAACGACCTCAATGCCAAGAAAATATGACATTAGGCCCAAATTTGTCATCTCAAAACATTTAATCATGACCTCCCTGAATTTTGCAATTATCTTTGGATTGCTATTAGTAAAGATTAGATCATCAATATAAAGGCATACAATAAGAATATCATTAGGCTCAACAGATTTGATATACAGAGTATGTTCAAAAGAGCATCTCTGAAAACTGTTTTGCACAAAATAAGAATCAATTTTCTTATACCACGCATTGGTGCCTGCTTCAAGCCATATAATGCCCTTTTCAATTTGTAGACTTTATCTTCTTTTTCTCCAACTTCATATCCTACAAGCTAATCAACATACACTTCTTCTTTCAAAGTACCATTTAAAAAAGTAGACTTAACATCAATTTGATGAATTTTCTAATTATTTTGAGCTGCTAAAGAGATAAGCATTTGAATTGCATCTAATCTCGCTACAGGAGCAAATACCTCAAAATAATCAATACCTAGCTTTTGCTTGTATCCTTTTGCTACCAACCTTACTTTGAAATGATCAATTTCTCCACTGGGCTTGTACTTAGTTTTGTACACCCACTTCACTCCAATTGACCTTTTATCTACTGGTAAGTCTGTTAACTCCCACGTTTGATTCTTCTCAATTGCATGAATTTCAGCATCCATGGCTTTCTCCAGTTTTGATCACTTATAGCTTCTTCAAATGTAACTGGTTTAAAATCTGTAAATAAAGCAAAGTTGATAATTTCCTCATTAGATGGGTCATTGTCATTTCCCACAGCATAGTCCTCCAATCTTGTTGGTAGTCTCCGTTGCCTCTGTGGTTTCTTTAATGTTTCTGGCTCATCATGTGTTGGATTTACATGTCCATTCTTCTCGTCATAATTTTTTAAAATTATCGTAGTCTCCTTTTGGGCTTTGGAAGACTAATCTCACATTCCTTCTTCATCAAAGGTCACATTTCTGCTGATAATTACTTTCTTTGTCATTGGATTGTAAGTTTGTGTGCCTTTGAGTTGGTGCTATAACCGATGAAGATGCACTTTTCTCCTTTATCATCAAGTTTCTTTCTAAGTTGATCTAGTACATGAGCATATGCTATACACCCAAAAAACTCTGAGGTGGCGAATAGAGGGCCTTCATCCACTCCAAGCTTCTTCTGGTGTTTTATCACAAATACTCTTTGTTAGACACCTATTTAAAATATACACAGCAATAGCAACTGCTTCTACCCATAATTTTTTAGGCAATTGTTTAACCTTCAACATACATCTTACCATATCCATAATTGTTCTATTCTTCCTTTCTACTACTCCATTTTTTTAAGGAATGTATTTGGTTGTCATTTGATGCTGAATTTTATGGTGATCAAAAAAATCTGTACAAGCAAGGTATTCTTAGCCTTTGTCTATCCTCAGTGCTTTAATCTTGCAACCATTTTGTTTCTCCACAAATGCTTTAAATGACTTAAAGACATCACAAGCTTTTGATTTCTGTTTCAAAAAATACACCCAATCTTTTCTACTAAAATCATCAATAAAAGTAATAAAATACATGCTGCCATCATGTGTTGGTATTTCAACCATGCATAAATCTGAATGGATAATCTCCAATGGCTTTCTTGCTTTCTAAGATTTTTCAGTTGGAAAAGATCCTCTATGCTTCTTTCCAATTTCACAAGTCTCACATACACTATTGGAAATATTTATAACAGAAAAACCAGATACATACTCTTAATAATTCAGTCCAGAAAAGTGATAATGCCCGAAGCGCATGTGCCATAACCAATCATCATTTGTATAATGGAAGTCAAGCAAGGAATTTTATCATGTGGAACCTTTAAAAGAAATAGGCAATTATGAGTCATTTTTTACTTTAATAATGAATCTCCTTTTTTTGTCAATCAATATACAGTAGCCATCATAAATATGCATGTTGTAGCCTTTCTCTAATAATTGTCCCATGCTCAACAAATTGTGATGAAGACTAGGGGCATAGAAAACATCAAAGATGAAATTTTGATAACCATCCTTCAATCTAATAGCAATTCGGCCTTTTCTCCAAATAGGAATATTTGAATTATTTCCAAATGTCACAGTAGATTTTACCGTTTCATCTAGTGAGAAAAATAACTCCTTTTTCCCACACATGTGATTGTTGCAGCCAGTATCTAAGTACCAGATATTTTCATCGCCAGAAAAATTATTTGCCTTTAGAAGTAAAGTTTAAGGATTATCAGAACTCTTACCAACATATTAATATTGATTTTCTGCCATATTTTCCTGTTGTTTGTATCTACAATCTGCAACTTTGTGTCCAAACTTTCCACAGTGGAAGCAGTTAAAGTTTGTCCTTTCCTGGTAGTTGAAGCCTCCTCTTCCTCTACCACAGTTCGCAGATCTGAAATTGTGTCCACCTCTTCCTTGATTAGCTGGCCTAGTATTGTTGTCTTTCCATTGTTGATTGAAATTATAACAACCTCTTCCTCTGAAGCTGCCACGACTTCTACTTCTGAAATTTACATTTCTACCTTCACGACCTCCACTATCTTCATGTCAGCTGAATTCTGCTACGTTGGTAAAATTCACCTGCCTCTTCAAGGCTTTTTCATTTACTTTTTCAATTTTCTCCAAAATTCTGCTCACATGGCTTTCAATGCTACCTTGCAACTCTGCAACTGTCATAATGTCTATGTCATGGGACTCAATTATTATAGTCATCACATGATCGAACTTTATTGGCATGGTAATGTCTTCTCCATACACCCTAATCTTATTGACAAGTTTTGTTACCCGTGAAAAATATTGTTCCACGATTTTTGAACTGGACATCTCATATCTTTGATATTCTTAATGCATGGATTGCAGTTTGGATTTCTGAGCTTTCTCTACTCCTTTTTATGACAGCTTCAAAATGTCCCATGCTTCTTTGGTTGTTTTGGCATTTGCTATTTTGCCAAAAATTGAGTAATCTACACCTTGGTGAATTTATGATAGTGCCAGTTGGTCCTTTCTGTGAGCATCATCATCAGCTCCTTGTTGTAAGTTTGGTTCAATAAAGCTCCAAATATTGCGAGCTTTCAAATGGGTGGACATCAACAATGCCCAATAATTGTAATCTAGTTTCTCATCTAATTTGGGACCAGACCAAACAATATTGTAATTTGTGGCCATCTCTCTCTCAAATAGACTCTACAAATTTTGATAAAATGAGAACTCTCTTGTTTTTTACACAAATTTTTTGACACTAACTCTCTCACAAGCTCACAAAATTAATGCTAGATTTAACCAGCTCTAATACCAATTTGATATCAATGGGACATATGAAAAACACACCCAACACACGTATACAAGAAATGAGAGAAGAAGAGAGAATTTCTACGTCATATATTTCAATCTTCAATGTTTTGATATAAATTCTCAGTAGGAATATTGGCCTTTTATAGGCTTTGCAAAATAATAGAATATATATATATATATATATATATATATATATGAAACCCACTATCGAAGGAAGGGAAAGTGGCCTAGTATTTCATGCAGCAATTTGTTTACAATTGTAGACTGTAATTAATATTGCAAAACAACTTCAGTTTCTAATTTTTTTAGGTACAGCTTTATAGGATTATGTGCAATAGTGCAGCTTTGTAGCACCTAAGATTTTATTGCTTTGTAATGAAGTAACGTTTGGTCTTGGTTTATCTCTGACATAAAAGTATTTAAATCTTAAAGAAGTTCATAAGCACTTGTAACTTAGATAGTTCACCGATTTCATCTTCCTTTTTTGATTCATTATTTGTATTGGCCATCAAACAAATATAAGTTTGTTTAGACATACCATTATCACTTCCTAATGAGTTGTCCATATATTCCTAAGTTGAGAGAAGACATCCCTTCTTTTTCTTCCTTGAAAACCTCTTGCCATTTTTTAAGGTTCCACAATTTGCTTTGATTCAGCCAAATTTCTTACATTCATAATAGACTAAATTTTAGTGAGAAACTTTCTTTTGAATATTTCTTACTCTTCTATTGCTCTCTTTGAAGACTTTTTGATGTGTCTGGAGATAAGATATTATTCTCTATATATCTTGTAATCGTTTTTATTAAAAAAAAAGTCATATTGCAAGTTCGTCGACTTGCTAGTTCGATTTGATGGCAATGATATATCCTTTATTCAGTTGAAAGGTTTTATTGAGTTCTAACTTATGAATTTTGAAAGAAACCCAAAAGCTCTTCAACCTTTAGATAACATAGGTCTTTAACTTCTTGTATGCTGATCATGGGTCTTCAAATCTTAGATACACCTTTCAAAACTTTTGGGCTTTGTCTTAATTTATCTATTCTCTGAAGTGTTTCTTCTCAAAACATATCCTGCATTTTAATCAAACATTTTCCTAACAGAATTATCATCCACGTTTTGCATGAACATAAGTTGATAAAAACTCTTTATTGGATGCTTAATCCAAGAAAACTAATTCTTTCAAAGATAATAAAAATATTGCATTTTTACATGTAAAATATTTTAAAGTACAATTCATTCAATTTTCCTGTGGTACTTTTACTGTTAAATTAATCTCCAAACCTAATTATTTAACTGCCCATACTTTAGAAGTTTATAATTAGGCTCTTAAATCATTAGATTCTGTAAGTATAAAAGCCTCATTAAAAAAAATAGTTCAAGATTTAGGCCGCCTAAATTTAAAAAGAAAATAACAATTAGGCTTATGCAAGGGGGTTAGAAGTTGAATTTAGTTAAATTTTTATTCAAAACAATTATTCAAAACAAACAAAAATAAAATGCAATTTGATATGATTCAATATGAATATAATTTAAAAATCGAACAAAATTTAACTACAAAATACCAATTCGATTTGAATTTTTTGGTTTCTATTTATTATTAATTATTTTTGTGTTTCAAAATTTTATTTATTATTATGACTTTTAATCTAATTTTAAATTTAGAATAAATAGTAACTCAAAATTGAACAAATTTGTTTAAAGATATAAAATACAAAAAATAAATGATGATTAAAAGGAAAAACAATGAAAAGATAATAATTTATTTATAGAAAAAAGAAAGATACTCAATTGAGAAAAATGAGCCTAAAATATAATAAAAAAAGTAAATATAATTTTTTATAAATGCAGTTTAATTCAATGTTAACGGTGGAAACCAATAATCAAACTGAAGTGAATATAAAAAATGGTTCAAATTTGAATACATCTAGGCTAATGTACTTGAGTGAACTTTAAAGAGAAGGTGGCGCCAAGGACCCAATTAAAAAATAATTTAAAAGTTTTAAAGCTTTGAAAATTGTTTAAAAACACTAACAATTTTTTTTGGGGATGGGGGAGGCAAGGCAAAAGTTACATTGACACAGGCGAAACAAGTGTAACGAAATCACCCGGACCTGGACTGTCCTCATTGCTCAGCTCTGAACAGCTGAAATACCAAGAGGCAATATATAAAAAGAAAAGATTATTATATGAAAGTTTTTTGCTCATATGTTGGTGAGGCACAATGTTTGCTTGAATTTACCTGTGTTCCTCATCACTGCCCCTCAATCTCAATCCTGAACACTATGGATGGAAATGAATACAGCTATTGATTATAAGTTGACATGCCGAAATTTCAGCACCAGTTGTATGGTCAGCGAGCACAGGGAAGTGCTTTTCTGGAGCTCACACAAAAATGTAAGTTAGCCAGGGTAGAAACACAATACCAGGTTGGTCATAAACCATCAGAGCACCACCAAGAATGAGTAGTCATTTCCATACTGATAAGGTCAGCTCATTCAGAGGCAATTGATGAAATCTAATTTGCTTTACGTGCCGATGATACTGCTGAATTACAGTGGATGTCCTTTGTGTATGTATTTGTGAGGGCAAATAGTAACAGGACAAAAACAACCTGGGCACTCATGATACCAAAATGACTAATACTATTTCCAATTTCCATCCAACTTCCCGTATTCCGAACCTGCCAACCATCAAAACTTAGTATCAGGATACCTGCCCCCCCCCCCCCCCCCACACACACACACACGACAAAAACTTTGGAGGACTAATGTAGTAACGATTTAAAATCCTTGAAGGATTAATCTGGTGGCTCAAATCATTAGAGCACCTAAAGGGTAACACTTTCATCTTTGGAGACCAATCCCAAGGTTTTCTATAACATAAAAATACTATTTCAAGAAGTAAATCCAAGAAGTATTGACCAGAAATTAAGGGTAATATGTTCTTAAGTATGGGATCATTGGTTTACAACTATGCCATTGTATATTCTTCCCTCTAAATGGACTAGAAGTAATATATTTTCATCTCTCTCTCTTTCAATCCTTTTTTTCATATCTAATTTTCAATAATGATTAACATTTCATATCACTAAACATTAGCAGATAGTTAACAAAATAGATCGTTAATATTAATTATAAGAAAATTACGAGAGCAAAAGCCAGCTGATTTCATGAGTCATACCTTGAATCATAATTAGATATTCACAGTTGTCAACAACTGTGCTGCTAGAAATCCAAGAAAAAATAACCAACCAAAAAGATAAAAAAACAAAAGACAGAAGTTAATGGCAATGGAAGAAAGGCATTTGCAGCATCTGCCGGATTTCCTAACAGTTAAGGTAGGTATGTTTGACCCTTTCTTTGACCATGATGAAATGAAGACACATTTACGGCAAGAAAAATCATACAAAAGGGAATTTACACAAGACAATGGAAACTACAAGAAATTATAAAGAATAGGGTGAGTATACCAGGAAGAAGAAGTGAGCGGTCATCACATCAGAGAACAATATAACAAGAAAATAGCATCCCAACCTCGGAACTTGGTTTAGTTTGGTTATTGCACTGAATACGCATCTGCAGTTCAGTTTGTTGCAAGCAACAATATAAGTTGGAGATTGGCATAAAGGAATTAGAACCACTACAACTGTTATTGCTAATAATATGTCCCAGAAAAACAGAAGCTGAATAAAATGTTAAAATTATAAAGTTGAAATGAATAAAGTAAAAAAATGATGAAATATAGAATTTGGAATCTACAGACTATACCAACGAAATAAATTTTTGTACTTCTACTCAGTTTCACAAAACAGAAAATGTTATTATAAGATTTATCAAGTTTTATTCTACATGATTAAATGCAACAGTTGGTGACACATCTGACAACTAATAATCAGTCCTTGAGTGGATAAATAAATGTACCCTGGGCAGAATTGTTCCCACTTTATTTTTAAACTAGTAATTGTGATAAGCAATTGTATGAAAATCTACAGATTTAGAACTCTATGACCACCTATCATTTAGTTGTGATGAACTGTATCATTGGAAAGAAAACGACTATATCAATTTTAGGAAAATCAAGTCCCAAATAAGTAATACTGTGGAACAGCTATTATCAGAAATTATGCAAGTGCACTTACACTACTAATATGAAGGGTATTAATAACTTGAAGATGAGTAGCGCTGCCATCAGGAAGGGCTGCGATTGACAGTAAAATATCAGTGCAAAATCTTATTAAAGATACACAAGTTAGACATTAAAAGAAGTTCAAATTTCACTTACACTAAAGATGGTAATGAACCGATAGACAGATGAAATCTCAAAACTAGCAATACTTGCAAAATTTCCCGTTCCAAAAAATGCAACGTTGAATAAAACCATCTGCATGATAGTAGTTCGTTTACAAGTATCAATTATCAATTATATTAATAATAAAGAAAGCTGAGCATAATCCTAGATGCTTTGAGTTGCTCTGAATCATAATAAACACTATTTGGGTGTCAGTCAAGTGAGAACTATCTTTTGGGTATATTGGCAGCATAAAAACCAGCATGAGGAGAATAGGTAGCTTGCAAGTCTTAAAGATTTGAGTCAGTGCCAATTGAGTTACTGTAGATATATTTTCTTCTAGTTGGGTCATTATGCACTGCTATTAGAGCTAGTAGCTACACCAGAAACTGTTTCTAGATAGCAGCATATATACACAATAATAAAGTTGAGAAAAACATTGCAACAGTACTTCCCCATGTTTGGCAACTGCTTGATTTTGGAAAATAATTGTTATTTTATCTTTCAGAAAATCAGCAACACAGTGATTATTTCTTAGTAATGCAATTCCAAATATGTAAAATAGTAGTAGATAATTATTATCATAGTAGTCAATCCCGGATAGCGGCGCGGAGCGGCCGACCTCAAAAATGCTATAGCGGCATAGCGGATAGCGGGATGGCCGCTATTTTAGGTATTATAAATATACTCATAAACTCATAAATTAAATTACACACATATATATATATGCTTAGATGTCAATAACAAGTAACAACAAAATATAAAAATAAATTTAACTAACTAAATTTAAGTCTCTAATGCTCAGATGTTTAAAAATACTAAGTGTTCAATTCAAATACAAATATTTTAATAATTATCATCATCTTCATCTCCAAGATTTGCAATGTCCTCTTCATTTTCACTTTCATCACTACTTTTGTAAAGAACCTCCTCCTCCTCCTCCTCATCCTCTTCTTCAGAGTCTTCGTCATCACATTCTTCTTCTTCTTCTTCTTCTTGTTGTACAATTTCTTTCCCTTTTCCCTTAGATTTAGATGAAGAAGCAATTGTAGTTGTCTTGGATTTTGATTTAGCTTGTTGCCTAGTATAGGTTATAGGCTCACTAGCCCCAATTGCATTAGCAACAGCTCCCCAAGTCAAGTTATCATCATCAAACACTAATTCATCTACAGCATCTTCATCATCTCCAGCTATTCCTTCTAGCAACCAATTATTACTATCATCAACATCCTTTAAGATAATAGGATCCACCACGTCAGAACACTCAAAACGTTCATTAAGAGCTTGGTTATATTTAATAAAAACCAAGTCTTGTAACCTTTGATGCTCAAGTCTGCTTCTCTTTTTAGAATGAATCTATTTTACCATAAAAAAAAAAATATTAGATTTTCACTTTTCATAAAAGAACTTTAAATTGAGGATTCAGATATTTACTTACGTGCTCAAAAGTACTCCAATTTCGTTCACATCCAGATGAACTACAAGTCAAACTCAACACTCTAATAGCAATATTTTGTAAATGTGGTGTACGTACTCCATAATTCTTCCACCATTCAGCTGCAAGTTATGCATCAACTTATTAACCTTTTGTGTTATATCTACATAATTACATTACAATAAAAAAATTAAACAAATCTCTTACCAGGAGCCATTGTAGCCCTTTGTCTTTTTGCTCCACTTAAACCAAAGAGACCTTCAGCTCTTCTATATGTTGACAATTGAACTGTAGCATTGTCTACATCATCTTCACTTGTACATAGCCTCTCAATACATTTATACAAGCCTTCCACAACTTCAGGATCATTCTCAATTTGTTTATTGCTATAAAAAAATTGAGGATTCAGATAATAACCTGCAGCATGTAATGGATGATGAAGTTGACACTCCCATCTTCTATCAATTATAGCAAAAATCTCCTTATATTTGTCTACATTTCCTTTGAATGCATTTTGAATGCTTTCTTTAGCTCTATCAATTGCCTCATATATATAACCCATTGCAGGCTTTCTTTCATTATCAACAAGTCTCAAAACTTGCACAAGTGGCCCCATAGCCTTAAGACAGAAAACCACATCATTCCAAAAAGAAGGCATAAGTACAGTGTCTGTTGCCCTTTTTCCTTTAGCTTCTTTGGCTGTTTTGGACTTTAACCACTCATCGGAAGTGAACATTTTTCTAAGGTTGTTTTTTTTATTATGCAACCTTTGTAATGTGAGGAATGTTGTGGCAAACCTTGTCACTCCATATCTAACCAATTCAGCTTTATTGGTGAACTTCCTCATAATATTCAAAGTCAATGAATGATTATAAATAAAACCCACAAGAGTAACTCCCCTTTGGATTGTTCTCTTGACTCTAGGTATTTTTCCAATGTCTTCTAATATCAAGTCAATACAGTGTGCAGCGCATGGAGTCCAAAACAAATGTGGTCTTTTAGCTTGCAACAACTTACCTAAAATTAAATTGCATAGTCTAAAATTAGAAACTAATAAAATAATTAGTAACTGAAATTAATATAGGGAGTTAAGAATAATTCTTACCGGCTAATACATAATTACTTCCATTATCAGTAACTACTTGCACAACATTTTTCTCTCCAATCTCTTCAACAAAGCTATCCAAGAGCTCAAACAACTTTTCTCCAGTTTTCATATAAGCAGATGCATCAATGCTCTTTACAAACATAGAACCAGTTGGACAATTTACTAAGAAATTGATCAATGTTCTATTTTTTTTATCCGTCCACGCATCTGACATAATTGAACATCCACATTTTTCTCTTTCTTCTTCACGACTTTTCAACATTTCCTTTATATACTCTAACTCCTTTTTAAGAAGAGGAACTCTACACTCATGATAACTAGGAGGCTTTAGATGTGGACCATAGTTTCCAATAGCTTCAACCATTAATTTGAAACTTTTTGAGCGCACAACGTTGAAAGCAATTCCATTCCTACAAAGGAATCGCTCTATGTATTGAACTGTTCTTGCTCTTGCCTCTTTGACATAAGCATCATTTATACTTGTTTGTCTTTTTGATTTTGCTAATTTGATGCTTGTTTCTGGACTCTTTAACCATAATAAATCCAATGGGCCCTTGACATTTTTTCCTTTTTTGGTGGCATTACAACCACTAACATAAACTGATGCAACACTTGAGGTTGCAGGTCGTTTTCCACTACGAATATTTTGAATTTCTTGCACCTCTTCTTCATCATCATCATCTTCATCATGCTGAAGTAAATATACCTCTTTTTCAATTCTCTTCTTCTCATGAGCTGCTATTAGTGTTTCTTTTATTTCTTTGGAAATCCTTGGACACTTATCAACATCTCCCTTCACTCCCATTTGGTGCCTCTTTGCTCGGGTAATACCGCCTGTAGTCGTTTTTCCACAAAAGTCACAAGTAACAGACTTTTTATTATTTATGTCTTTCAAACTATTCCATTGCCAACCTATATCCAAATTATTTCCTGAAGGCTTCACTAATGCACAGGATGAAATTGAAACAGAGCCGGTTCCTTGTGACAGATTGGGAGAAGTAGCCATTACTTCTTTAAGCTTTGAAATTTCGAACAGAAAATAATAGAAGAATCAAAACAGAGAAGAGAAAAAAAAAACAGAGAAAAATATAGAAAAAAAAAATGTTCAGTACCGGAAAGTTCGCCGGAAGTTCGCCGGAAGTCTGCCGGAGTTGGAGAAGATGACCGGAAAGTTGTGCTGACCTTGAAGAAGATGAGAAGAGATGAAGAAAATGACTCAAAATAATTTGGGTCACCTTAGAAGCTTGCCGGAGACGAAGAAGATGACCGGAAAATCAAGTGGAAGTCTCGCTGGAAAAACAGAGCACAGTGAACAGAGGATGACCAGAAAATCGAGAACAGAGGAGAGAGAACGAGAACAGAGGAGAGAGAACCGAGAACAAAGGAGAGAGAACCGACGGGAGAAGAGAGGAGAGCAGATTGATGGAGGCTAGGGTTGAAGAAGATGATTCAGAAAAATAAGGGGGGGTCGAAATTCCAAAATTGCCCCCCCTTAAAGGGCCCTAACGGTAAAAGATGAGGGGCAAAAAGGGGAAACGCGCGAGAATGAGATAGCGGCCGCTCCAGCCGCTATTTTCGGTGTTTTCCGCCGCGAATCGCGGCGCGACAGCCGCTACTGCGAAACGCGACGCGACAGCGTCGCCGTCGCGGGAAAGGGCCGCTCCGCCCCGCTCCGCCACGATTGCGGCCGCTATTTCCGCTATTGACTACTATGATTATTATGTTAAGAAAAAAAAAATATTTATCTTTAGGATTTAATACACTCTGCCCTGCATAAAAATAAAGAGCAATTATTTATTTGGGTATATATATATATATATCTTGCAATACCAAAGCATGTTAGAAAACTGAACGACACTAACTTGAGATCATCTGTGCTCAACTGTTTATAATTGAATCTCGTGTTAAAACTTATATCATTCACTCTTTAGTAACAAATCTTTTCACAGAAGTGACAAGTCTAGTATCAAACAAAATGTGGTCCAACCAATGAGGGTAGGCTTAGCTGGTAAGGATTAAACCACATCATTTGGAAAGGGTTTCAACTTTTGCAGCTCCCCCTGCTTAGCAATAGTTTGGAGGGAATCTTTAAGTACCACAGGCACAGCATGCCTCACTCCTGCATGTAACAGATTCTGTCCTCAGAATGGAATAGCCTCTGCTTCTCTTAAGTGTTATTCTCTAATAATTTTTTCATATATCTATCCAAGATTGAGGATGAGTTTTCAACAGACTGTTGAAAAAACCTAAGTACATATCCTGTCCTGTCTTTACACCCAGGTTTTAAAAGATTCAACGTTTGTTACTTATTCAAAACCATAATAGTCCATTTGTGGGTCAAGATGAGGAAGATAGAATAGTATAAGCTATTCTATCCTATTTTAGTCCCTATAGATTTTCTTCTATTTAGAAATCCTAAGTTCTCATTTTTTAACACAAAATCTTTATAAATTAAATTGATTAATTTGTCTTCTACAGTTCTATTCAAAACTAACCAACTAAAATATTAAATTTCACATAAAAACAACAGTCTCAAAATTTCCCCTGTTCAAACCCCAATCTCACATCAAATAAAATTTCCCCAGTTTTAGCACATTGTTAGAAACCCAACCCCAATATGAGGCCCAACACTCAGATGAAGTCCAACACTTAAATTCTAAAGTGTACACATGCATAGCCCACTTGAAATGAGAGAATAGAGCTCTACACGGGCAAATACACACTCACGTATCTGCGCATATACTTCTCTGATTAAGTAAAATGAATGAGAGAGCAAAGATCTACACGGGCAAGTACACACCCACGTATTTGTTCATGTACTTCTTTGATTAAGTAAAATAAGCAAAATCTTTGAAGTAGAGATATACATAGTCAAGAGGAGAAGAGCCCAAAGCTTTAATCTGAATTTGAAAGACTTTTTTTTTTTTATTATTATTTATTTTGGTATTGTGTGTAGAAATATATATTATTGCTTACAATAGGACCTGAACCTAGGCACTTGAGGTTAATATATGTCCACTTAACCACTAGAACATATCCCTCATGTTTGTACTGAAGGAACTAGTTTTTTTATTTTTTTTAATATGTTAAGTCCATATGGACAAACTCCTAATCTGAATTGTACCAATGTTATCAATGGTAGATGGCGGGTCATGGCGGAAAACAAAAAAACTGCCATAAAATTATGGCGGATGCCATGGCGGGTTATGGCGGAATAATGGCGGTCATATATATTGCAAAATGTGATATAAAATTAGAAAACTAACTACATATAAAAAGAAGGTTTTGAGAAAAAAAGAATAAAATGGTTGTACAATAGTGAAAAAAAAACTGAAGTTATAAAAGGAAAGTAGAGAATTAAAATAAATATGGAGAAGGAAACTTGGAAGTGAAAACAGAAAAATAAAATCAAGAAAACAAAATAATAAGGAAAAACGAAAAAAATGGGAGAAGGAAAAACAGAACTGAAAAAAAAAAAAAATAGGAGAGGGAAAAACTAAGAAAGAAGGAATAATAAGCTGAAGTTATAACAGAAAAGTAGAGAATTAAAATAAATATGGAGAAGGAAACTTGGAAGTGAAAACAGAAAAATAGAATCAAGAAAACAAAATAATAAGGAAAAACAAAAAAAATGGGAGAGTAAAACAGAGTGGGAGAGGGAAAAACAGAACTGAAAAAAAAAACAGGAGGAAAAAACTAAGAAAGAGGGGCAGAGTCCAGAGACACAAAATAGAAAATGGACTTCGGAAAATAGGGCCTTCCATTCACAGTTGCCGGAAAACAGCCGGAAAGGATGTCTTCTCCGGCGAAAATGGTGAAGGAGAAAATGGCTTTAGAGAAGAAGGAAGAAAAAAAGTGTAGAGAACCCTAAATATTTTACCCTTCAGAAAATTGACCGCTTGAGAAGAGAAGGTAAACCCTAAAAATTTTAAGTGGAAAGAGTCTATTTTGCCCTTAAAAACCCTAAAATACATAAAACAAGGACAAGATTGGAATTTCGCTATCTATTTTGCCCTTAAAAAACCCTAAAATACATAAAACAAGGGCAAGATTGGAATTTCGCTCTCTTTCTCTATTACACTTCAACACGCACACCAAGACACTACAACTAGGGCTTAACCCCTGCGAAGAAATACTTCACAGCAGCAGCAGGTGGCGGACCGCCACTCCATAGCGGCACAACAGCCAACCGACGCTCCATTGCGGCACAACAGCAATGAAGAAAGGAAGAAAATATGTGATTTAGGGTTTGGGCTCATGGATTATCTTTTCGGAGCAGGTCCAATCAATGGCCCAACTCAATTTTTCCCACAAAAACGCCATTTTTTTACATTTTCCGCCATGGCTGCCGTTACCGCCATGCGCGTAACGGCCGCCATGGCGCCGCCATTGAAAAAGGCCAGAAAACGGTAACGCTGTAACGGCGGGGTCAAAAACCGCCACCGAATTCTGCCATGGCGCCGCCATGGCCGCCATTTAACAACACTGAATTGTACTAAGACACTTGGAAATCATTTGAGGAATAGATTATTGAAATCAGATTACAATGAGTATTTTTCTCTACCAGGGTTTTTCCTTGCAACCATTAATCTTATCAAGAATTCACCCATTCTTGTGGCAATCTCTTTGGCTTATCAAGCATCCTTATCTATGGCGCCATCCCTACCATAATTCCTTCCTCTTATTTTGTTATCAAGGTAACAATTTCATTTTCCCCAATTCAGAATTTTAGGGTTCATAGCCTTTTCTTCCAAACAAACTCCAAATTGTTTCCAGAATATCTTGTGCTCATATATCATGATCTAAAACTCTTTTTTTAGTGATTCTTGAGTCAAAATTGCGGTTCACGATGTGAATTTTCTTCTTATTTTTGAAACACTTAATTCTAAGCTCTATAGCTCAGGTTACGTCCTAGTCTTAGTAGGTCCGAAATTCAAGAGGCTTATGGTAAACCTCATCATTAAGTAATATATTGTAACTAACTATTAATGAGTCCCTAACTAACATATCATTACTAAGTACAAATGGGAGTTACCTAACAGCATGTCATTTAGCTTGTTCCAATAACTGTAAAATCTAATCGTTTATCACCTTTGAGTTGCCACCACTTGATTCATTGAACAATAGCTTGTTGAGTTCTGTTTGCACCCTTAAAACAAACATCAAGGATCAAGACCCTATATTATATAAGGTTCTCTCTAGGAATCACACTGCAATCTTTATAAATTCTTTTATCCAAGCTTCTTACCAAAAAGAAATCAATTTACGACCTTGAAAATCAACCCTTATAAGTGATTATATGTTTTTCCTGCTTCTTAAAGCAAATATATGAGGACCATTGCTCGTTTAATATTGCATCCAGGCATCAATGCAACAACTTTAACTAATTTGACATTGTACTCAAGCCATTTCGTGCATTACTTCCAAGTAACAACCTAGCCTT